TAATCTTTACAATAATCCTGTAAGGCGGGTCCTGTTGTCGTCTTCATTTTATAGGTAAGGAACTTGAAGCACAGAGAGGTAGGGTAACTGGCACAAGGTCACACAGCTAATGGATGGCAGAAGAAGGATCTAAACTCAGGCAGATGGACAAGAGTCTGCATTTTCAGCCACTGCACTAGACAGCTTCGTTATGCAGAGAAGAAAAACAAGATTTAAAAATTCTTTACAAATAATGGAATGAGGAAAAAGCCTCTAAAGGAAAAATGCTCCTATTACTTTAACCAGACTCTTGTCTTTTATGAGATGGATCCTGGAAACACAGTCAACAGAGGGAGCTGTCCTGGCTGGTCCAGGCTTCTTATGAGGAAGGCAGAAAAGTCCAGTGTTCACAGCCGTGCCTTTTTACCATCTTTTATCACCTGCAGAGTGGTGTGTCGGTGTTGCAGAAATCATTCTCTTGGTGGCTTAAGGTATTTGATTAGAGGGGGGAAGAGTTCGGAGAGATGGAGCTGTAAGACTGTCAGGAATGGTACCAAATATTGGTCCATCCATACAGCCAAGGGATTCAGGTGAATTCTAAGCCAAGTCCCTGACTCAGTCTGAACCACAACCGACAGAGCGTACAGGAAGATACCACTTGCCTTGGCTGAAGAGGGTGTATCAGAGATGCTAGACCAGAACCCCCAACTCTGACACTCTCTGCTCCAACTTTCTTGTCCCCTTTCTGTAGGGCAGGAAGTTCTAGGACCAAGCCAGGGCCCATCAAACCTGTCCAGAGCAAGACCAGTGGTACTGCATCTTTTCATATCAGGGTGCACACCCCGATCAAATGTTTTCCATCAGGCATTCAGCCCAGGCATAAATGGGCTTCTCTGGTGGCTCAGTGGTAAAGAATCCACCTGCCAATGTAGGAGGCTCAGGTTTTATCCCTGAGACTTGGGTTCCATCCCTGGGTCCGGGAGGGTTGGGATGATCCCCTGGAGAAGGAAATGGCACTCGAGTATTCTTGTCTGGGAAATCCCATTGACAGAGGAACCTGGCGGGTTACAGTCCATGGGGTCACAAAGAGCCGGACACAACTTAGCACACATGCAAAGGGGTAGATCAAATCCCCAAAGTCCAAATCTTCACCACGTTCCAACTATTCATCACATTTTCTCTCCAGAGATCTGAAAAATGTCTATTAACAAAACAAAAAACAAACCTACTTATTAAAACAAATCTAAATGCCTTAATTTTAGGATTATATGTTTCCTGACAACACAGCTCTTATGAAAGCACTCAAAGTTCTATTATCATCTAATAATTTCTACATAGCTATTTATATGTGTGCTTGGAAGCCAAAAAATGAAGCTTCAATTACCTTTGCATCGACCACGAAAGCAAGCAGAAACAGGACAATCATCCATAAAAAAAATTTTTTTTTCAAAGATGCAGGAATCCTATTAGCTGGTGTTCTCTCAGTTTCAATCAAGGTGAGAGAAGCCAGGCAAAATGCAGTTTTAACATATATGGTTATCCCCAGACTTTCTTACTAAATAAGGGGGAAATTAATAAAAGCAGAAAAAAATACCACACGGCATTTTCTTTCCCCACCATAATTTTTCAATTTTCTTTAGAGAAATGCCAGCCAATAACTAATTAGAACCATATCCTTTGTTATCCCAATGGGAAGTATACGAATGGTTTTAAGAATAAATGTTAATGAGAACGTGAAAAAAAATAGTAATATGGAACTTTGGTTTCCCCTCAATGTAAAAACAAAATCCTTTCCTTTAATGCTATTTTTATCATTGGGTGAAACAACATGGACAGGATCCATCTACAAGAAGGTAAGTGTCCACTGAGTCAGCACCCTGAACGGGGGGTGCCCTGGGTTTTTCACTATTATCGCAGAATTGGCATCACAAGCTCACAGATTTCTAAGCACCCCAATTTCAAACAAGAGAGACAAAAACTCAAAATTACAGAAAAGGAATGTTTTACATCTCTTTGGTTTCAAGGGAGAGAATAATTTCTTCCAAAGTAAGTACACAGCTGTTATAATTTCCAAGAGTATGTTTTCCATAAGAAACCCATCTGGATAGAGCCTTTTTACCTGGTATGTCACCACAAAAAAGAATGTTTCTAGGATCAAATCTTGAGTTGCCTATTCACGAATATCCAGGGGCAGAAACTACCTTCTCAAAAACGGGACTTAAAAAAAAAAACAAAAAAAACAAGACTTGTTTTAGAGAACAAAGTGAACTATAGAATGTGAGTCAGAAAAACTCTGAGCAAAAAATAAACTGGTAAAAAATTAAAAAAAATAAATAAATAAATTGGTAAGATGCTAACACACCATGGAGAGGGCACATGCCAGCAAACTGAAGTGCATTTTCAAGTCAGGGTCTGCCTGGTATCATCCAGAACCTCATCTTGATGGAATGAACAGGTCCAGGCTGGGGTCACAAGCCACTTTTTGTGTGTGTGCAAAAGGACTTGGTCAGACATAGTGAAGCAGGCATGGCTTGTTGTTGCTGTTGTTCTTCAGTCATCCAGTTGTGTCCAACTCTTTGAGACCCCTTGGACTGCAGCATGCCAAGCCTCCTGTCATCCTCTGTTGTCCCCTTCTCCCACCTTCAATATTTCCCAGCATCAGGGTCTTTTGTCACACCAAATATTCTTTTTGGAAGAAAAGGTTTAGGCATTTGCAAAACATCTCAATTTGCTCCTTATTTTACTATCCAGCAAATTTATTTCCAACACTTATGGGGGAAAACATAACAATAGGCCTTAAGTCTGTAACACTGTACCATCATTGTGTATTTGCAAAAGCTAGAAATCATTTGTAATGCCCAATAAGGACAGTACTTTACACAGACTTTGGTCTACAATAGAAATAGGCCATAATAATGAAAATATTTCTTGATAAATCACTTTCTGGACATTACTCCTCCCCAAAAGGATCATAAAAACTACCACCAAGGAAAACAAAGGATTCCCATGTTTTAAAGCAAAAAAGGACTGGCCATTCATATTCCTGCACTGTACCAAGCAGATAAGTCAAATATGGGCAAGATCATCTAAAAAGTGGTTAAAACGCAAAGTGTTGCCTCTGTGTGGCTTGAGTCCATGTTTTTCCAATGCTAAATCTACAAAATCTATTTGTTAAACTGTGTTTCATACTTTGAATACCAAGTCTGTACCTTACATTGCTTCTATGGATGATTTACTTGAGACATATGGGGCCACAGTATAAGCCTTTTACTCTCACTAAATCTAAATCATGCTTCTCAACAAGATTCTATAGGCATTAAAGAAACAAATGGCATGCCCTTACCAACCTCCGGAGTGGAATCTAAACGCCCCCAGCAGAGCCCTTCTGTCCACTCCAGAAACAGAGATTTTCCTCAGGAAAGCACCCGGCTGGATTCACACGTTGCAGCAGGCATACTAATTAAGCAAGAGCGCTCCAAAACTTTTTCTGTTTCGATTCATGGCAAAATTTCCTGAATTCATTTTATTAAAACAGACATCTTCATCCAACAGACACACTCAAAAATCCAAGCTAATTTCAGCAGCAAACCCGCGGGAGAGGAGGGGTTCAGAAGTTGACAGAGGACTGTAAATTTCCCCCAATCCTCATTCTTCTGGTCAGTCTGCACTTAAGGAATCGGCTCAGCGTTTAATTCGATGCCAAGACACCAGTGGCCCACCAACCAAGCCACTAACAGCCACATGGACGGGTCTGGTCCGGTGCCCGGGAGGTATCAGGGGGTATGGCTGGCTGGACAGCTAGACAATGAAAGGCTCCCTGGTGGCCTCTAGTTCAGTCCGAGGGAGGGAAAAGCGGGAGCGGAGGGAGGGCAAGGGGAGACGACCAAGCTTCCTTCTCGCCCAAAGCCACGGTCAGCGGCCGACACCCCCACCCCAGGGCGCCGGGGGACCCGCCCTCGGCCACAGCAGGAGGTAGCCTCAGGAAAGCAGATTTCTCTCGGAGAGAGAGGAAACTTCCTGGTTCGGGCATTATGGGTAGGGGGCCGGCGCCCTCCCCCCCACCACAGGTAGCCGCGGGGAGTCGATGGCTGAGGGAAAGAAGGGGCCCCCTCCCCGCGCCTCTGCCCGGGGCTGAGGGTCACCGATTCGGGACCCCCCCGATCGCAGCCACCCGCTACGGGAGGCTCCCAACATGCGGGTACCCGGCCCTCGACTCCCCAGGACGTGAGTCAGGGTCCCGGGGGCTGAGGGGTTTCAAACTTCCCAGCGGGCGCGGCCTGGCACCGACACCGAGTTGCCGCGGGTTCCGAGCCGGCGGGTTCCCGGGACGGGGGACGGTCAGAGGCAGGGGACGCTGAGGAGCAGGAGGGGAAGCCCGTGCATTACAGGAGAGGGCAGCGGGGACGCCGGGGGCCGCGAGGACCGGCTCCCGGGAACGCTTTACGAGGCCGGCGCCGCTCACCTTCCTGTGCTTCTCCTTGTAGGGTAGCGCCAGCCACGGCATGTCCCGCACGAAGTCCTGCCACTGCCGCTGGTCCTGATCCGAGGACACGAAGACAATCTCCAGGCGGCGCCGCGGCTCGGGCTCCGCCGCAGCCCCGGCCCCCGGCCCCGGCCCGGGCCCGGCCGCCGCGTCCCCCCGCAGGCGGCCGTAGAAGGCGGTCAGGCTGGCGCTGAGCTGCGCGCAGGGGGCGCTCAGGCTGCAGCCGAAGTAGAGCCCGAGCAGCGAGATGCCGCGGGAGGCCAGCGAGTGCACGTCCACCTCCTCGCCGCCGCCAGTCACTAGCTTCTCGCCCAGCAGCTCCTCCAGGAAGCCCGACATCCTGGCCCACCGCAGCCCGGGCTCGCGGGCACCCGGGCGGGCAGGCGGCGGCGACCCCGCTCCCTCGGTCCGCGCGGCGGGCGGAGGCGGCAGCTGCGGCGGCGTCGGCGGGCACAGGCGGGAGGAGAGCCACGCCCACACACCACGCCCACTCCACGCCTATTCACCATGCCACGCCCCCTTTGTAGCCGAGCTTGCCTCCCGAGCTCTGGCTGCGGCCGGCGGCGCGAGCTCCCGCCGCGTGGCCAAAGTGCTCCGGAGATAGTCCTGGCAAGAAGGATGACCTGAGACTCTCCGGTCTGTTGGAAATGCCTGGGACCTAAGTGAAGAAAGCAGAAGGGGTCGCTGAGCCACCCTTTCCGAAGCTGCAGTCCGCGCAGAGCCGGGCTTGGCCTCGCCCCTACCTCCCATTTCCTCTTCGCTCCCGAATTCTCCAAAGATTCCCACCCGAGTTCTCTTATCCCTCCTTGTTCTTCCCTGCACTCTCCCTACCCACAGCCTATCCCGTTGGCCCTTTGTACCCCCACTGATCTCATAATACTTGTAGGACTTAACCGTCTTCACACAATGATAACTTAGTCCGGCGAGGTCTTGCTGATCTCTCTGTATGTTTTGTGTTCTCCACCACAAGAGGCCGGGAGGACGCCACCTCTTATGTTTCTTATGTAGCTTCTGATACAGTGATGGGCATATGGGAGGGAATCCATAAGTACTTGTGGGTTGATCGCAGGTCGCAGTGTGGATTTCAGTCCCCAGGTCGCCGCGGTCATACCTCACCAGCGAGTGGCTCTCTTCCATCTCCACAAATATAGGCAACAGATGCCGCAGCATCTCTAAATCGATGCTGGCTGCTCTCCGGAAACGGTTCCCTAGCTTCTACCCAAGTCTGTTAATAGTTGAGAGAAATTCTATGGATTTTTTTTTTTTTTTTGCCAGCTGGCGAGATGCTGCCCTATGCTTAAATTGAACCTGGATTAAACAGGTGGTCTGTGGCAACTCTTCCGGCCTCCCCCCAACACATACACGAAAAAAGAAAAATTATACCATGCCCACTCGCAACAGAGGAACAAGAACGTGCCAGCTCAGCTACCAACAACCCAGTTAAAGGAAAGAACACCCCTCTTACCGCCCTCCACCAGGCCTTTGCAAGTTATTTCTTGGGCTTCCACCGCCATCTAGTGGAAAGAGCAAGACAAGACAAAGGGATACCAGCAACCATGCAGAATATTGTATTTTATAGCTGCTTTACACACACACACACACACACACACACACACACACACACACACACACACACACACACCCATACACACACACACACACCCATACACACACACACCCCATAACCCACTTTACAAGAGTTCATTTAAACCTCATAATATAACCACAAGCTTTTTGGCACAAACATAAATTTTCGTGCCTAAGGTTCCCAGTGTTTCTGGGATAGAACAAGGAATTGTACTGGTTCTCAGCTCAGTGAAATGTTACCACAGAAACTGGTGAAACAGGTGGAGGTGGACACCACGGGTGGACTGACAATCTCTTGAATGATAGCCACTTTCTCAGTATCCACCTAACACTGCTGCTCATTTCATAAGTAGGCTCTTCGGATTGAGGATTGCCTTTAGGCAGGCAAGAACCCTATGACAATGGTGAATTCTGAGTTCATTCTGAGTGTCTTGGCAAAATTCTGTGTGACTGAAGAGACAGTATTATTACCAACACATGGAAAGCATCACTTTTTAGTGAAAACATATAAAAGCCATTAACATAGCAGACATTAATTTGTTAGATATCTTTTCAAAATTCTGGAAGTGGGTTAAAATGTTTTTTCTCATCCAAATCGTATAGTTGAAATGCCCATGGGTGAGTTGCATCAGGTGCGATCCAAATCATGTAAGACAGACTCCTATACCCTGATGCTTTTAAGTGAACGCTGAAGAAATGTAAGAGGACCATAAGCATCTTACTGATGCCTAGAGACAAAGTATTTGTTGTGGAGGGAGGTGAGGAGGGAATTCAGGGGATTGCAAATTGGGGGAAATAGTGAAGTCATTATTACAGTACTTAACTCTGGTATACTAGGTACAAGTCTGTATAAAGAGGTGGTTTGTTCAGCATTTTCCTTTTATTATTTTATAGGAAAGCACTTTCCACTGGAGTGTGTCCAAACCAGCATCTGGCACCTGGGAAAGTGAGAGTTTGAACATACTGCGCATGAAATATAAATAAAATTTAGAGAATTGTTGGTGCAGCAGGCCCTGGTTACATGCCAAATATTGCAGCTGCCTTTTAAAGGGGTGTGGAAAGAGGGGATTTGCAATGGAAATGATTCCAAAATCATAGTTCAAGTAGGTGTTTGTTATAAGAAGAAGCCTGAAGAGACTCTCTGGGCTTCCTGTAAAGAACAGCCAACATCCTTCGGGTTATGGAAAGCACGCTCTCTGAATCTGCGGTTCAAGAGACCCACTTAAAGAAAATACCCCTACTGGTATTTAGCTAATTATGTCATATGAATTTACTGGCTATTCTGCAAACTATTATTGTTTTAAAATATGTGTTAAGGAACCACAACATGCCTGACATTTATGGCACATACACATTACAGAGTTTTCCTTTTGAGAAATTGCATTCTAAGGCATGTGATACCAGACAAAACACGCACTAGACAAATACATATTTGTAACCTGTAAGATTCATGATCACACACACACACACAAAGATTCATGATCACATTCCTTGGTCTTCAGGACTAGAAGCATATGTGCACAAAAATATATGTGTCGGGACATCTCTGGCAGTCCAGTGATGAAGAATCTGCACCTAAAAAAAAAAAAAAAGAATCTGCATCTCCACTACAGGGACACAGGTTTGATCCCTAGTCAGAGAATTAAGATCTCATATGCCATATGGGCCAGGTCAAAAAAAAAAAGAAAAGGGAAAAAAAAGATGTATATGTACAGATAGTTATTAATACATTGGTGAAATTAGAAAAAGACTGGAAAACTGGAAAGAGCCTAATTATGTATCAATGAGGAGGATTAAAAGATGGCACATTCATCATTTGGAATACAATCTAGTCACTGAAAAGAATTAAGATTTCTGTATACACTGTATCAGTCTGTGTTCTCTAGAGAAAGAGAACCAACACAGAGATTTGCTATAAGAAATTGGTTCACATGATCACGGAGGCTGAGAAGTCTCAAAATCAGCAGTCAGCCAGCCAGAGGGCCAAGAACTGATGGTATAAGTTCTACTCCCTATTGAGTCCCAAAGGCAGCAGGAGACCTATGTCCTAGTTCAAAGGCAAGTAGAGAGAGTGAATTCTCCCTTACATTTTGTTCTATCCAGGCCTTCAACTGATTGGATGAGGCCCACCCACATTGGAGAGGGCAATTTGCTTTACTGAGTCTACTATTTCATGTGTTAACCTCATCCAGAAACACCCACAGACATACCTATAATAGTGTTTAACCAAATATCCATACCCCAGTCAATTTGACACATAAAATTAAGTATCACAAGCCTACCCCTTAGCAACTTGGCACCCATATGCATCTCCTTAAACTATACTTTCTCTCTAAATAAAGATAATACCAAGATCATGATCCCACCAAATATGATACAAGTATATGGATTATGAAGAACTGAGCTTTGACTGTAAGCAACCAAAACTGCACTCATTCCTTCCCCATAGGAGATAGTGATTCCTTGAGGATGTTTACTCACCTTGATGGCCCGTGACTTAAACATGATGATGTAAAGTAACAATATTTAAATACTATAATATAAAGTCTATATACCATACACTAGATGCTAATTCAGAGAACACACAGTATTCTGGAGAATCTCACCCTGGCCCTGCAAGGTACTATCACCTAACTGGTGCTGTAACTGAATCTTCCAAAGGCCATTCTATCGTTCCATCAAACCAGGTGTTTCAGAGTGGTGAGGAGCATGGTAAGACCAGAGAATTCGGTGAGCACGTAACTTGCCTATGCCTTCAGGGCCTGCTTAGGCCCAATCACATATATTCCACCTCAACCTGATGATGAAGTGTTCCTGTCCACATCTGATTTTATGGGTTGGTGGGTCAGATAACACCAAGTTCATGATGGACAGCTCAGGGAGCATGGTAATTTCATGGCCCAAGCATTCAGCCTATATGAAGACCCAGTGGCAGGCCATGTGTTGTTTCTCCAAAGGAGAGTAGCTATCCACAGAGAATGTGAATAACTACTCTTCTTTGCCTCACCTGTAATGGCTGCCAAAGGCTCCAAACAGCATCCCTATCTGCCACTGACCTATCTCAAGCACCACTGGATCTCATGGGTCATATGACAGGGTAGCTTCTACAGCTTCTCAGGGTCACGGGAGACAGGGTAGCTTCTACAGCAGCCTGGACCTTCTGCAGAGTCATCCCTTTTTCTGGACTCCACTCAAAACCAGAAACTTTTGTGGTCACTCAATAAATGGGCCAGGGACTTCCCTGGTGGTCCAGCGGTTAAGAATCTGCCTTGCAATGCAGGGGACATAGGTTCGATGCCTGGTTGGGGAACTAAGATCCCACATGCCATGGAGCAACTAAATTGGTAAGCTGCAACTACTAGGACCACGTGGTCCAGAGCCTACGCATTGCAACTGCTGCGCCAGAGCCCCCCCGAAAAAGATCTGCATAATGCAACAAAGATCCTGAGTGCCACAACTAAGACCCAACACAGCCAAATAAATACATATGTTTTAACAATAGGCCAGACTGCCCAATGCTGTGTGGCAGCCTGGATGGGAGGGGAGTCTCGTGGAGACCAGATACATGCATGTATGTATGGCTGAGTCCCTTCACTGTTCACCTGAAACCATCACAGCATTGTTAAACAGCTATGCGTGCTGCTCAGTCACTTCAGGCATGTTTGACTCTTTGCGACCCCTGTAGCCCACCAGGCTCCACGTCCATGGGATTCTCCAGGCAAGAATATTGGAGTGGGTTGCCATGCCCTCCTCCAGGGGATCTTACTGAGCCAGGAATCGAATCAGTGTCCCCTGAGTCTCCTGCACTGCAGGCAGACTCTTTACCTCTGAGCCATCAGGGAAGCCCTGTGTTAAATGGCTATACCCCAATACAAAGTAAAAAGTTTTTAAAAACGGGCCAGAAAAGGAAACCCAAATGAGAAATATACTGCCTCCAAACACCTGGGCATGCTCCAGCCTAATCAAGCTGACACACAAAATTCACCATCACATACACTGGTATGACATCTCTCTAAGATGTAGCACAATAGAAAGTAAGGTGCAGAATACGTAGAAAATACTAAGCAACCACTTGTAAATTTTTAAGTGGAGAAAAAAAATACATATATACAAAAATGTAAAGTTTATATATGGATGAAATATATCTGGAAGGACATTTAAAAAATAGTAACAGGTTGCTTAGGGAAGGAAATTGAAGAACTTTGGAATAAATGTGAGAAAAATCTGGAAGGTATTATTCTAGTCCAGAAAGAAAGTATATTTTGAATTTTCAAATAAGAACCTATTCGAGGTTAAGATGCTACAAGTGGAGAAAGGAATATTTAAAGAATATCAAGACATCTCAGAATAAAAGAGACAAAGTGTTTCACACACACACAAATTCAGATGCCATTAAAACAAAGCTATTAGCACACAGTGAACACTTTGATTATAAAAGTTTTCCAAGTCTACTTACTTCAAGAAATAATTGAGTCAACAAAATTTGAGTAAAAACTGATTCAAACAAAGTATTCCTTTTGGTGGGGGCACGGCGCAGCATACTGCCAGGCTTGCAGAATCTTAATTCCCTGACCAGGGATTAAACCTGGGCCCTCGGCAGAAAAGCCTGGAGTCAACCACTGAACCAGCAGGGAATTCCCTAAAAAATGTATTCCATTTAATTGGAAGTTCCCTGTAAAAAGATTTTACCTGTTAATTAATTCTGTAGTACAGTTTTTGGCATCTCCTTTATCTTTTCCTTTTTTAAGAGCTGGTCTTTGGTGACAGATGTACTGATAAGGGAAATTGTTTGACAGAGAGGTGAAAGAAGCAAAATATGGAGGCAAGGTTTGACAAAGATCAGGATGAGGGAAGGGAGGGGCTTCCCTGGTGGCCCAGTGGATAACACTCCATGCTTCCAATGCTCTGGTAATACTCCATGCTTCCATTCCTGGTCTGGGAACTAGATTCCATGTGCCACAACTAAAAAAGATCCTGCATGCCACAATGAAGATCAACAATGCTATGTGCTGAAACATAGATCCAGTGCAGCCAAATAAATATTAAAAAAAAAAAAAGATGAGGGAAGGGAAAGAGGGGTGCTGTCCTCCCCAGTTACAACAGCAGTGTGTTTCTTCTCTTTCTGGTACCCACTTGATATGTAATTTTAGGAATTCACCATCACAGTTCTTTCTAGATTTCATTTTATCCCTCAGCAAAGCAGGAGTCTGGTCTCTTGTTTTTCAAGCCTTGTAATTCTTGTCTGAGTCAGAAATGCAAAGTGCTACAAACACATTATGCATATTTATATTTGCCTCCAACACTTCTCAGAGCACATCTCGGGATTACAACTTGTTATCAATGTGACCCTACTGCAGATATAGCAGTCTGTGTGATTCATTGCACAAGTATTCTGGAGTAGGCTCTAACCATCCACCAGACTGCCAGGCTATAGGCCAAATTTCCAATTCAGTTTTTCATAAGCAAAGCCAAAGCAACAGCAGAAGAGATAGTAAGCAAGTCTGATAGTTGAGTCTGGGTGAATCAATAAAAACTCCAAACAATTATGCTGTGGAAGAAATCTGCTCCAGAATATTAAGACCACCCTTCAGAATCAGGCTGGAGTCGGATTTGGCACTGGAGACAGTACAGGATATTTCTGTTGTCACCACGGCTATACTGTAAGTCAAAGGTATAAAGAATTAAGAAATAATCATAAACATTTTCTGGGACTTCCTTAGTGGTCTCGTGGCTAAGACGCTGCACTCCCAATACAAGGGGACTGGGTTCGATCCCTGGTTGAAGGAATAGATCCCACATGCCACAACTAAAGATTCCACATAATGCAATTAAAAGATCCTGCATTGACCCAACTAAAAAGGATCCCATGTGCCACAGTGAGGATTGAAGATCCTGTATGTCACAACTAAGACCCAGTGCAGCCTAAATAAGTATTTTTTCTTAAATATGGAGAACAGTATGGCGATTTCCTAAAAAACTAGGAGTAAAACTACCATATGACCCAGCAATTCCACTACTGGGCATTTACCCTGAGGAAACCATAATTGAAAAAGACACACGTATCCCATTGTTCACTGCAGCACTACGTACAATAGCTAGGACATGGAAGCAACCTAGATGTCCATCGACAGATGAAAGGATAAAGAAGTTGTGGTCTAGATACACAATCTGTACCACAGATATTACTCACTGTATTTCTACAGCTTTCTGAGTTGGTTCTAATGAGGTGGATGAACCTAGAGCCTATTATAGAGTGAAGTAAGTCAGAAAGAGAAAGACAAATATCATTTATTAATGCATATATGTAATATCTCGAAAGATGGTATTGATGAACCTATCTAAGGTCAGCAATAGAGATGCTGACATAGAGAACAGACTTTTGGACAGTTGGGGAGGAAGAAGGTGGGATGATTTGAGACAGTAGCATTGAAACATATATGTTACCATGTGTAAAACAGATAGCCAGCGGGAATTTGTTGTATGTCACAGGGAACCCAAAGCTGGTGGGTGCTCTATGACAACCTAGAGGGGTGGGATAGGGAGAGAGGTGGAAGGGAGGTTCAAGAGGGAGGTGA